TAACCACCACACCTATATATATATAACCACCACACCTATGTATATATAACCACCACACCTATATATATATAACCACCACACCATGCATAACAGCACTCACCCTCAATCCGAGCAAGCGCCAGGACCTCCTTCGAGTCCAAAGCCGGTCGACTAGGCACATCATCCCGTAGGTACAATTCAATCAACGTGTTATACAGCACAGTGCTGCTCTGTTTCTGGCGGTTAATGATATACTCCAAGAACACCAGCAACCAGCCCGTGCTCTTGACAAATATGTGCAGAAAGCGTTCAGGCTCACTCTTGGGCAGAGGTGCTTTGCTTGTGGTTGGGCATGGTCGCGAGGCTGCCGGTGACCTGCGCAGTTGGTGTAAGTTGGTGGAGGATCCGGTGGGTGTGCCTGTGCGGATAGAGAGAGGCAGAGGGTTATGAGTACTTCATTACTAAGGGGATATATATATATATATATATAGATTCTACATATACACATACGTGTGCGTGAGTGGACAGCAAACATCGAAAGGATTCTAGATTAGTAGTATTTACATAAGTGAATAAGCGATAAGTATATGCGTTAATAAGTAATGTATGTAAAAGGAAACAAGTGTTACCTATAGTGATTTAAGTGATATTTATAAAAGGAAATAACTATTAATTATAAAGGTGAATAAGTGTTATTATGTGTGTGTAGCATTCTATATCTAGTGTACTGCGCATAGTATGAGAAATGTATACAAAGTGGACGAAGGACGGCGAATAGTATATGACAGTTGATAAAGATAAATTACCAATGATGATAGGTAATAGAAAATAGTGTGAGAAATGTATAGAACGTGGACGAAGGACGGCAAATTGTATATGACAGTTGGTAATAGAAAATTACCAATGATGATAGGTAATAGAAAAACAGTATTAATAAGTAGTAGTACATGAAAATGGTACATGACAATATTGATTTGATGTAGTAAATATCAATAAATAGAACAATTATCGATAATGATATGAGTAGTAAAATCAATATTAATAAATAGTAGTTAATAAGAATAGTAAAGAACAATTACCAATAATGACAAAAAATATAAAACAATATTGTTAAATAATATTCAACAACAATAGCAAATGTCAATACTGATGAATAGTCATAGATAGTAGAGAACAACAATAGTAAATAACAATTACCAATAATGACAAGTTAAAAAAAACAATAAGATAAGAATATTAAACAACGAAATTGATCAATTCATAGCAGTAAATAACACCATAGACAGACAGCACACATCTACCCACAATGCCTACTACATATCCTGCCCAACATTCGTACCGTTGCGGCTGTTATTAGTGCTCGTGTAGGATGAGGCGCTGTTGCTCCTGCGTGTCTTTGATCCTCTCCTGACGGTATAACGGGAGAAGACAACGTTGTAACAACAGCGTACGTGCACGAACAACAATGACAGGAACGCAGATATGACTGTAATAAAGAGGCTGGCCAGTAGGTCCTTTGCACAATCATGGAAGGGGAAGATAACCATATGACAATGCCCGTATGCACAGGATGTAGTAGCCTATAGCTTGTCCAATTCTAATGTAATAATAATAATAATAAAATTAAAATTATGAAAATAACAAAAATAAATAAAAATAATAATAACAATAATAATAATAATAACAAAATATGAGACATCCCAAGTAGGAGAATATGCATCAGCCTACAATTGGGCTACGCTTTCTGCGGCAGTATGAGGATAGTGCTGTGACAAGTACACAAATAGGTGAGAGATGTAACAGCATATAATTGCACCACTCA